CATGCATGTGTTTATGTGTCAGAGAGTGTGTACATCTAAGTGTGGAGTTCTCTATAAATAAAAAGCATCTTGCCATTGTACTCCCGTTAAAGGTTAATAAGATATGGTACCCAGTCATTGTATCTAGTACAAATGAGGCTATGGTGATATCTCTGCAGGGGTCTCACCCAAAATCACAGGGCCTCAGACTGATGCACTGGAAAACATAATAGCATACAATGAGATTTCCCTAATTTACTCTGGTCCAGAAAAAAATGTTTTCCTGGTTCTTCCTAACAATAACTCAGGTCCAAAGAATAACTCAAAAAGAAAATTATTATAAAGTCTTTTGAACTAGATGAAAATAAAATGACACACAATGTCAAAATTTGTGGGACTCATAAAGCAATACTTAGAGGAAAAAATTGTAACAAAATACTACAATAGAAAAGGACAAAGATCTGTCTCAAATTACCTTAAGAAACAAGAAAAATAATAAATTGAACCCAATTGAACCCTGAGTAATTAGGAAAAAAATAAATAACATAGATAAGATAAATAGAAAACAAATAGAGAAAAATCAATGAAACCAAAGCTCGTTCTTGAGAAAATCAATAAAATGTACAAACTTCTAGTCAACTGATCAAAGAAAGAGTCTACACATTCTCAAGATCAGGAACAAGAGAGGTAACATCACTACAAATTCTATAAATATTAAAGAAACTATACAACAATACTATAAACAATTTGGTGTCAATAAAATCACCAACTTTCAGGGAAAGATATAAATTGCAAAAGCACCTAAAAAAATGAACAGAAAAATTAAATAGCTCTTCAGAGAACTATTAAAAAGATTATTTTACATGACTGTGAAACTATTAGAGATTAAATTTCTAACTGAAAATTTCCTTGCTAAAAATAAGTACATAAATCAATCAATAAAATACTTTATTTATTTATAACAAGTAAATAAAAATTCAGGATGAGGGCTCACTTCACTGAACATTTGAGGAAGAAATAATATTGATTCTGCACAAACTTTTCCATAAAATTGAAAAGAAAGGAATCTTCCCCTACTCATTCCATGAAACCTGCATTACTCTGATATCAAAACCTTGTCTGATCAACATATTGTAAGAAAACTTGAGTCTTATCATTCATAAGATAATGCAAATATTTTAATCAAATTTTAGCACGTTGAATTCAGCAATCTACAAAATTGGTATTGTCATGACCAAGGTGTATCCTGGGAGTACAGGATTTACTGAATCATTTTCTAAAGTAATTCACTGCATTCACAGACTTCAAAACTACCATCTCCATGGAAGCATATATGTGCCCCTTGCTGGCAGACCACCACCTTCCCCTGGCTAAGACCTAGAAATCTTCCAGACTGAGTCAGGTATTATCATTAGAGGTCAATGCTGTCATCCTTGGAGCAGGGTCAGGGATGTGTCTCCTTCCTATGGTATTTCCATAACTGTACAGAAATCTTCTGTGATTGATGTATATGATTCTTAACTGCTTCTGGACACTGAGGACCAGGCTACACTCTGTGGGCACATGGGTGCCCCTCACGTGGTGTGGTGTAGTACAGGTGCTCAGTAAGCATCTGCTGGATGAACCAGATGTTCACAGGTGCACAGGTGGTCTGTGCACTTCCTGGAGGCATAGAGGTTCTGGGTTCCCATGCGTGAAGCACTATGGAACAAGAGCCCCGCCATTCAGCATGGACATTGGGTTCCATGGGAGTGTTTGGGGCACTGCACCAAAGAACACAACTGTCAAAGAGTTGGGCGCACTGTTCCTCAGGGAAGGCTTTGTGGGGAGGTGCTCACACCAAGCCCCAGAGTTATAATCAAGGGCCAAGGACAGAGAATGGAATAACACAGCATTTCAGAGATGGGAGCAGGACCTTGACTGCATAACTCCAGCCTCCACAGCCCAGGGCCATGAGTGGAGAAAGAGAGTTTTAAAGTCATGAGTGGAGAAAGAGAGGCTGGAGGAGGGGAAGGGGGTGCAGGTCTCTTAATGTGGTCCCCCTCCTGGGACCTCCATGTCTGTGCTGTTCTCTCTAAAACCTAAGAACAGCTGGACAAAGAGAACCACCTTGGGGTTAGGCACTCATTGGTAGAGAAATAAATTTTCATTGCAAGTACACCTACCATCATGATTATCTCCCAAGTTCAAAAAAAAAAAGACCCTAGAATGAGAGCATTCCAAGAGTCACAGAGGAAGAACTTGAGGAAGTTTCCACAGGGAGAAGCTCATCTATTTGTGTCAATGTAAAGACCTGCCTGATCTCAGTAAATAATTAACCCACCAAGTCTCTGGCCTGGATATTCTGCAACAGTGTGAGGCGCTCCATGTCTGCACGACCCACTTCAATATCCAGAGTGCAAACGGGGCAAAGTCCAGAAGGTGCTTGTTTTACTGTTTTTGCGGGAAAGTGAGATGGTGTTTGTTGTTACATCTCCATGGAAAAATATGTCAGTGCGTTCTGTGAGGGCAACCCCCCCGTGACACAGAGGTTCTCCCTTGCATTGATCTCTCTGTGACGTGCACCTCATGGAGGGGGGCGGGAGGCAAAAGGTGCCCTTGGTGAATTCCAGGGCGGACTGAGCTACTATATATTTAATAATGCTTAAGGGGACACAAAGGCCAAGAAAACTCCTGCAAATCAAAGAGTGAAAATACCTCCCCACATGTTCCTGACTGGAAGAAAACCTCAGGCCTACTCTGTGAGTGTGAGGACCAGAGCAAGTGCCTGGTAGACAAGCTGCCACTGGGTCTCCCAGGCTCATCCTAAGTTCCTTCTACTCAAGCTCTGAGAACTTGAACCACAGGGTCAACTGATGGCTGATAGACACATCTCATGACCAAGCGGTCTGGTTACCCTGACAGCCAGCAGAGGCCTTCAAGACCAGGTTCTGTGGCACAGGGCTGTCTGCTCCTTGGCCTGGCCATAGCAAAGTATAGCCGCCAGCCCTCCTCCACCAGCATCTGCTCTGACCCAGCCCACCAGGAGGACTTCACCATGAGGCCCGCCTGCTGCCTGCTCACTGGGGAATACCAGCAGCCACTGAGAGAGCACTCTGCATCGTGGCGCAGCCCTATCCCTTGGCCGAAGGTTGTGAATCTTGTCTGTGGCCCGCCCTGTTCCAGCTTGTGGGGACTGCTCTCCCGTCCCTGAGGTCTGGAGGAAGGACTGTCCATGGTGGTGCCATGGGCGCCATACCAGCCCAGGGCTGCCTATATTGCCTCACCTTTCAGAGGGTCTGAGCACCATCAGCAGTGTCAATCTCACCCTACTAGTATGCGTTTTCCCCTTTGCTCTCCGCCCTCCCTGAGTGAGCATTCCTGACACTTGCCCCACCTCCACCACAGCTCCCTTGCCCTATGGCCAACCATGGTGGGGCCCACAGGGCCCCTTCCAAGGCATCCTCCCGGCTGTCCCTGTGATTGTGTAAGTGCTCCCCCCCATGGTGCCTGGCTCTGGCTCCCTCATTCCCCATTGCCAAGATGCTTTCAGGAGAGAAGGGCAGGATCCTGCTATCCTGGGTTTGGGGCCATTGGCTGCCCCTGCCTGAGAGGGAGGTCCGCATAGGCCCACAGAGGGCTGCAGTTGAGCTTTCATGCTTGATGACTGACCAGGGCAGCCTGAGTCCGTAGGGTAAAACAGATCAAGTGTGTTCCCACATGCTGTCCCCATCAGAGGTGCCACCAGTCTGAAACATGCCTACACTGTCCAGATAACTCACCTTGGGCATCCCTTCCCCATAGAGGAGGGGCTACGGGGCTCAAAATCTCAGCTGTTCCCTACTGGCCCTGAATAGGGAATTCAGGTACAGAGTGAGGACAGGGCAGGGGAATTGGGGAAAGTTTCCTCTAGCAAGACCTGGCTCAGATGCCCACTGGCCAAGCACAGGGTGAGGCAGTTTGCCCAGAACAGGCACTAGCAATATACAGGTTCAAGAATAGATGAAACAGGCAAATCCAGAGATAAAAAGTAGGTAAGTGGTTGCTTAGGGAAAAGGGGTGGGAGGAAATATGGAGTGACTGCTAAGGATATTGGTTCTTTGAGGAGGCATGAAAAAATGTTCTAAAATTGACTGTGGTGATAGCTGCACAACTGAATCTACTGAAAATCAGTGAACTGTAAACTTTAATGGGTAAATTATGTGGAATGTGAATTATATCTCACTAAAGCTGTTATTAAAAATGTTTCAGCTAGTACATCTGTGTGTGCATAGATATACAGACATACACAGAACACACTCACAATATGCACTTTTCTCTCTTGTTTACCCACAGTAACAGAATTCTTCATATCTTGAATATGCAATCTGCCCTGATGTGCTAACACAAACCAGCTTAGCTGACTTCTGCCTTTTCCAGGGTAAATAAACTAGAAGTCAAACAAGTTTCTGTCCCTCCAGGGGGCACACCCCCTCAGACACTCCCTACCTCTTCATTCAAGGGACACCACCCCTGCATGCCCAGGGAAGGGTCCGAGGACAGTGCATGTGACCCGAGGACAGCGCCTGTGTCCATTTCCTCAGCAGCCCACAGTAGGATCCTACCCCCCAGTGTCAGAATTCCCCAGCAGACTTGTTATAAATAAAGATCCCTGGCCCCCACTGCAGACCTACTAAATCTGGGGTGAGCTGTCAGGATTTGCTTTCGAGAGTTTATTGCAACCCAGTGAGACTTGCACTCACACCCACTTCAGCCAAAGCTGAGCCCCACCCCCCTACTGGAATATGCCCCTGAAGACGGGGAACTCGCTGCTCTCTCGAAACCAGCACAGTCTGGCCATCACACAGGGCTCTTGTGTGTGCCTCCCATCCCTTAGCACTGCCTCCCACAGGGCCTCTTTCACCCAACACAGGCTTCCCCACGCTGATGGTGCCACCCACATGATTAGTCAGGAGGGCTCCCCAATCCCCTGGGCCTAATGCCACATCCCAAGGTTCCCTTAGCCATTCCTCTCCCAAGGAAGCAGAAAAAGCTTATCTTGCCTGAGCAGTCCAGAGGTAGTCCAGCCTAAGCTTGACATCCACCTGCCGGGCGTGCAGGGCCAGCGTACACGAGAACAGCAGGATGGCCACAATGGGCTCGAAGCTGTGCCCGGAGACAGTGCCACTCCTGCGGGGAGAGGAGAAAGAAAACCCAAGTTAGCACCAAGACCACATCATTGAATACAAGACCCACTCAAAATGTGTCCCTCAGAGGCAACACCAATAGGGGCACCTAGGGCAACCCCAGGCTGAGAGTCACACCTCCTAGGGCACTCCAGGTCTTGCTGGAATTTGGACTAAATGAGAAGCACCCTAATTAGCACCCAGAACACAGGGCACCATAGAGATATTCACGTGGTCTGTGCTGGCGGGAGTAGCACCTACCCCAGGGCCTTCGTGTATCCGCTGAGCTCCAGGACCAGGATGTAGGACGTGGTGAGCACGCAGAGCAGGATCATTTTTGGCAAGGAAGAGACCCGCAGAAATATGGCCAGAGGAAGGGTGCCCACGAGGCCACAGAGCAGGGCATGGGGCGCTGACTCACAGGGCAGGGCAGGGTCCCAGCCACCGGATGCCAGGGACCCATTGGAACTAGAGCTCCAGGCCCACGGCAGGCAGTCCACCTGTGGGAGACAAGGGCAGGGGCACATGGGTGGGGTCCTACTAGAACTTCAGTCACTTCCGTTCCCAGTTCCCTACAGAATCCCACACTTCTGCCTGCTCACAGTCCTGAAGACTCCTCACCATTTCTCAAAGAGCAGGAGCTTTAGGACTGAGCCAGGGCACATCTTGCCCAAAGTACCCAGCTCTGTTACTCCTATCATCCTGTTACCCTGTCCCCCAACACCCTCCTGCTATACCTTCCTGCTCCCTCTATCCAAGAATCCCCATTATTCCTATACCTATACCCTTCTCTTAATTCTTATTCAGGCTCCTCTGGTTACTCCTGCCCCGGTTCCATTCAGTTACTCCTACCCCAGTTTCTGTCGTCCCCACACTATGAAGGAGCAAGGTCTTCCTTTACCAGGAGATTAAATTCTCTCTACTGGGAATGTAACCCCTCCACTGGTTTCCTTGGGCACCCAGGACCATCTTTGACACCCTAATGTCTCACTCCCCATAGACTGGGCCCCTAGCCTGGTTTCCCAAGGGTGATCCCCAATGTTATTTCCTCAACCCTCCTCATGCCAGGCCTGCTGAGGGTCAGAGGTACTCACCACCCAACCTTGGGCTACAGAGTAGATTAAGACCACTATGAAAATGCACAAGACTGTGCGGATCTGGATTGTCAGGCATCCTGGTAAACACTGGAAGATAAGAAAAGGCCTCTTAATAGAAAGTTGATTTCCTTCCTTCTACTGGCTTTCGGTTTTGTTTGTTCTTCTTACTTTAGTTCCTCAAGGTTTAAAGCTAGATTGTTTATTTGAGCTCTTTCTTTTTTTCTGATATAGGACTTTATTGCTATTGCTATGTACTTTCTACTTAGCTTCATCCTATGGGTTCTGGTAGATGGTGCCTTTACTGTTTGTCTCTAGGCTTTTTTTTTTGTGGGACCCTAGTCGGTGGCCAGGGAACGAACCGGCGCTGCAGAGGCTGCGAGCAACCTCGCAGCCCAGCGCTCAACCGCTGGGCCACCAGGGGAGGCCCACTAGGCATTTTTTGATGTCTTCTTTGATTTCCTCTTTGACCTAATGTTAGGGGGCAATGATGTCCTGAGCTAATCCCATACAGGCTTTGTGGACCCCACCCCCACTCCACACTAAAGCCATCAGGACATTGGGAAAGACAAATCCCGTCACCACCAAAGGGAGGGTGGCTGGGACCTGAGGGTGGAGTTGGGCAGCCAGGTTGGATATAAAAACCAAACACGTGGGCCTTGGGGTGGCTGGCTATCGCTCGCCTCCTGGCTTCACGGCTCCTGGCTCGCGGCCAGCTCTCAGAGTGCCATTTTGGGATTCCTGATCGGCGGATCGGGTTGGAGTCATTTAAAACTTTGTCTCCCACTTTTCTCCCTGAGCTGTACATTTCCTCATTTCCCCTTCCCTTGTAAATAAACCTTTTATTAACTTTTCACGTGTGCCTGCAGTAGAGCATTGATAAGTCCTTTTAAGCGCGCGGGTGAGGACCCACAGTCAGGCACCCTGTTTTGTATCGGGGCTTGCTCTACAACACTAATAGTCATTCAGTAGTATGTTATTTAGTCTCCACACATTAGAGGTTTTTTCTGCTTATTTCTGTGGCCAGTTTCTAGTTTGTTAACATTGTGATCAGAGAAGATACTTGGTATCATATCAATCTTCAAGAATTTGACATTGGTTTTGTGGCATAACATGTGGTCCGAGTGCCTCCCCGGTGGCGCAGCGGTTGAGCGCTGGGTTGTGAAGCTGCCCTCAGCCTCTGCAGCGCCAGTTCCAACCCCCGGCTGCTGGCCGAGGGTCCCACATGGTGCTCAGACCTCTCCTGCCATGCCCACTGCTCCCCTCAGCAGTGTACTTCGTCAGTCTGCCTGTTCTGCTTTCCACTCTGGCTCTGGTGAATTCTCTCACCCTCCCACGCCTCTGACTGTACCCAGTGCTTGTACAAATAAATAAAATATTAAAAAAAAAATACAAACTGCCATGATTAAAAAAAAAAAAAACACACATGTGGTCCGAAAGCATGTTCCATGTGCACTTGAGAAGAACATGTACTCATCCTTTGAGGCACAGTGCCCTATAAATGCAATTATTCCACATAGTGTAATCCCTCATTTAAGGTGATTGTTTCCTTGTTGATAGTCTATCTGGATGATCAATTCATTGATGAAAGTGGGGTGCTGAGGTCCCCTACTATTTTGTTGCTGCCAATGTCTGTTTTCAGGTTTGTTAATAGTCATCTTAAATATTTTGGTGCTTCTTTTTCGGTACATATTGATGAGTGTTATGGCTTACAGATCCATTGATCCCTTAATCAGTATATAATATCCACCCATCTCTATTTTTTTCTGATATAAGTATTGCTGTTCCTGCCTTTTTAGGGGTCCCATTTGTGTGTAGGACTGTTTTCCAACCATTTACTTTGAGACTATCATTGAGTCTTAGATGTCCCTCCTGGAGACAGGAGATAGTTTGGCTTCATTTTCTACTCCAATCACTACCTTTTGATTGGGAGTTTAGCTCATTAACATTTAAGATGATTATTTCCTTGTCTTGGATTCTTGGGAGCTTTACTATTTTGGGTCTTGCTGTATTTTTCCTTTCGTCATGGAAGTTTGGTGTTCTTCTTGCTTCTTGTACGTCCATTTTCAGCTCCTTCTTCATGTTTGGGAAGTTCTCTTCAATTATTTCCTTGAATATTTTCTCTGTTCCTATGTCTCTCTCCTCTCCTTCTGGGATTCCTATAACTCTTATATTTCCTTTCCTCATGGAGTCAGATTGTTTGTGAAGTCTTTCTTCATTCTTTTTCCTTCGTACTTCTCTTTCCTTTTCTGTTTTGGTTCTTTTTATTTCTGTGTCTTCAAGAGTACTTATTCATTCTTCCATTTCATCTATTCTGCCTTCATTGCTTTTCCCAGAGTTCTTTAGCTCCTCCATTAATCCGCTGATCTCCGGCATTTCTTTCACTTCCCTCTTTAGGAACTCAATTTCATTCTTCTGATCGTTGATTATTTTTCCCATATTGTTGATTACTTTTCCCATATCATTTTCAACTTCTTTCAGTTTTTTAATCATGGTAACTTCAAATTCTCTATTGGGAAGACTCATAAGTTCCTCTAAGTCACTGTTGTTGCAGTCTGGTGTTTGATTTTCTTTTTGTAGTGTGTCTTTTCCCTGAGGTCATGCTTGGTTGCTTGTAATTTTTCTTCTCCCAGCTGCTTGTTTTCTAATTTGTCCTATGCATCGGGACACTGTGCCACTGGTACTGGCTGGAAGGGATCATGCTCAGCAAAATAAACCAGAAAGTGGGCCTTCCCTGTAGCGCAGTGGCTGAGCGCTGGGCTGTGAAGCTGCCTGCAGCCTCCGCAGTGCCAGTTTGATCCCCGGCCGCAGGCAAGGGTCCCACCTGGCACACAGACCTCTCCTGCCGTGCCCTCTGGTCCCATCAGCAATGTACTTCTTCAGTCTGCCTGTTCTGCTCCCCACTCTGGCTCTGGTGAATTCTCTCACCCTCCTGCGCTTCTGACTGTACCCAGTGTTACATAAATAAATAAATAAATAACTCTTTAAAAAATAATAATAAGCCAGAAAGAAAAAGAAAAATACCACATGGTTTCACTCATAGCAGGAATTTAGAAAACCTAAATAAGGGACCAGGAAAAAGACTAATTATAATGAAGTAAAAATCAAAATCAACAAGCAACTATAAACCAGAGACACACTATGGGAGGGGGAGGAGGGAGTAGGATCAAAATAAGGGGGTTGGGAATTGTATAACCAAGATGAAAATACATACATTGTGCAAAAATGAAAAATGATGTAAAAAATATATAAAATTTAAAAATAATAATAAAACATAAATAAAATTAGTTGCTTTCAGAACAGTAAAATCTTAATTGCTTTCAGAACAATAAAAGGGTATTATAATGTTAAAAAACATTTAGTATGATTATTTATACATAAGGATTTTCTACAGCCATTTTGTCGTAGTTTTACTTCTATTTCCTTCTTCACTTTCTTGTGGATTTTCTTCTCTTTGATTTAGACAGGAGACCTCTTTCAACCTTGTAGGAGTGGTCTAGTGTTTGCAAACTCCTTCAGCTTCTATTTGTCTTCCTCACATCTGAAGGAGAGTCTTCCTGGATGTAGTATTCTTGGCTGGTAGTTTTAATCTTTATTATGTTGAATACATCATTCCCTCTCGTCTTGCTTATAGGTTTCCTTGGAAAAGTTTGATATAAGGCTGATAGAGTACTTTGACACATTACCTGATTGTTTCCCCCGTCACCTTCAATTTTCTTTGTCTTGAACTTTTGGTAGTTTCACAAGTATTTGTCTTGCTGTAGGTTTCATTACATCTAGGTAAGCAGGCATTCTTTTAGCTTTATGTACCTGCACATTTAGCCCCCTCCCCAGGTTTAGGAGCTTTTCACCTATTTATTTCTTTGAATAAGTTCTCTGTTCCCTTCTCTTTCTCTTCTTCTTGAATACCCATTATCCTTACACTAATTTCCCCAATGATATCCAATAGTTCTCAAAGTGCTTCTTCATTTTTTTCTTTGTATTTCTCTTTCTTCTGCTTATCTTCTCTTTCTCTTTCTGGTCTTCTGGTCTTCTGAGTTCACTTAATCAATCCTGCATTTAGTCTATTTTACTTCCATTGCATTCTTCATAGTTTACTTCCTCTATTAATCTTTGACATCCTGTATCTCTTATTTTATTTAAAGCTTCAATCATTAATTTTATTTCACATGACATTTATTTATTTTTCTAAACTTTGTTCAATCTCTTTAAGTTTTTCATAGTTCTCTTGTATCACTTTGGCTTGCTTTTCTACATTTTCTTTCATTTCTTTATCATGGCAATTTTGAACTCTGTATCTAATCGAAAGATAAAGTTTTTCTTTCTTTGTGGCTGGATTTTCGAGTTGTTCTCTCTTTGTGATGATATATCGCCTTGACATATTAAGGTGCTGTGTGTTTTTTTTTAATGCCCATTTTGCTTTCAATTTCCCTATTTTAAAAGAAGTATCTATAGCAGTAACTTTTTTTTTTTTAATAGAGGCATGCTTTATTTATTTATTTGTTTGTTTGTTTGTTTGTTTTTATTTATACATGCACTGGGTACAGTCAGAAGCGCGGGAGGGTGAGAGAATTCACCAAAGCCAGAGCGGGGAGCAGAGCAGGCAGAAGGACCAAAGTACACTGCTAAGGGGAGCAGCGGGCGGCAGGAGAGGTCTGCGCGCCATGTGGGACCCTCCTCCAGTGGCCGGGGAGCAGCTGGGGATCGAACCGGCGCTGCATAGGCCGCAGGCAGCTTCGCAACCCAGTGCTCAACCGCTGCGCCACCGGGGAGGCCCTATAGCAGTAACTTTGAGATTTCCACTACTTTTTACTTTTCCAGCAGGTGAAACTTTGGTTTTATGTGATTTTTAGACTTGTGGCCTTTCCCAGCTCCCATAGGTCCTACAGCCTGATCTTGTCACTGCTGAGTGGGGGTTTGAGAGTCTTGGCTGGGTCCAGCCTCTGTTATGAATGTGTGAGGAAAATGGTGGGGGGGGCTGCCTCATGTTTGTGGCGCTGCTGATATCCCTCCTCTATGGAGTTCGAGGCCTGAGTCTCTGCAGTCTGTGCACCAGCAGTGAGCTTCACAAGGTCATTACCAGTCCCAAA